TGGACCATGGCCAGGGGCAAGTCAATCCTTCAGAGAAAGGGGGCTACACCCTTTAGAGCTAGGGAAACTACAAGGGAGCCAGGGCACCTACACAGCCCATGGGCTGAAGGGGTGTGAGAGAAAGGGTGCAGCAAGGGAATATGCTCTTTGGTTCCAAGAAGTGACAGGAACAAAAACTTATCCCAGCTACATAGATATAGTATTTATTTCTACGCCGAAAATGTTACCTAATTGTTTGACCAAAAGCAAAATTTAAGGAAAATGCTTGCCCTGAAATCAAACTTTGAGAATCAAGGAAACTTGTTTCTGTTTTGCTGTAATTGCTAATCTTGAATTTTTGAATGAAAAACATTATCCTAGCTTCTGTTCTGTTCTGTTCTAACAAAACACTGTCCATATAGTTCAAATAATACATCACAAAATAGCTCTAGTAATAGCTCTAGTAATACATCAAAAATACATCACAAAACGTATATACATAAATGCAAACCCAAATATACACACACATACCTGAAGCAATGATAAGAGCTACTTTTATTTTTCATTCACATCAAGACCACTGCAGATCCCATTGTATTTTTGTAAAAACTACTGATAAATATCATGTTTGACATTATCAAGTTTTCTGCTTGTGATGATGAGAAAATACTATGTATTATTGTCCCTCTTTTGCCTCCCACTATACAATTTAAAGTGTGGTGATACACATTCACGGTAAAAAGATAAATGAGATGTTCAAGGGATTAAAACATTTTCAGGCATAGAAATAAAAAATTACGCTCACAGTTCATGCAGTATTGGAAACAACAAACAAACAAACAAAAAAACAATCCTCAAACAACCAATATCACAAAGTAAGAAAAATGGATCTAAGAGATTCTTGTTATCCCAAATTTTTTTTTTTCATTTTCCCACCCTTGAACCAATTTATTAGATTCAAGTGAAGAAGAAAAAAAAACTGTGATAAAACACGTCTTGGAACCATTTTTTGATATATCTACTGCCCTTTTAAAGTAATAGCACTGCCTGGATAAGAGCCTTTGGAAAATGGCACCTTCATAAATCTGCTGGTAATTCCTGAAAATATATTTAACACTTGCAGAAAGGATCTTTTTTAGCACCTTCCATTCCATCTTCTTTTGAGATTTAGTCTAAACCTGTACATGTGTTTTTAGGCTGCAGCTGTAATGGTTCAGAATGACAACAGGTTTGGACACTTCTGTACCAGCTGTGGGGTACAAAGACAGGATCTCTGTCTTCTCACTGCAGAGAAAGAGTGAAAGGGCCCATACAAATGGGCTGTAGAGTCAGCTCTGGGAGCTAATGGACTTTAGTTGCTCCCAGGGGTTTTTATGGCTGCAGAGGTTAGTCCATGCTCTGCTAACATGGATAAAGAGCTAAAGCACACAGTTCCTTTGAGAATACCCCAGGACTGAAAGCTTAACAGTATAGTTAAGCCAGAAGAAAATTTTATAAAACATTACAAATCAGCACTAAAAATGTGATAAATACTTCACTCAGAGGCAAACACACTGAGGTTAGAGTTGTGCCTGCCTGCAAGTATTGCTAACTGACATCCCTAGTGAGATTTTGGAACACATAACAAGACATTTAAGACTGAGCCACTCTTTACTCCAAACATGATTCTAAAATACATATTTGTATGCCTAAGTGAAATGTGAAATACAGATACAGAATTATGACCACAAAAAATAACAAAAAAAGTATGAAGAGAAATGGTTTATATATATGAATAGATTTAGAAATACAGTTATTCAAAGCAAAATGTTTTAAGAAGGTTTGATGGGCATTTCTCAACCTCAGTGCAAGTTTCCAATGATAAACCCTTCAGAAAACCAGGAAACTTTCATTACAAGGATTACAAATTCTGAGGAACTAATCACAAATGTGACTCACTGAATGGATATTGTGTTACAGGCCTAGGAACACACATTATGAAGCAAAGTAGAGCTACATTTGGAGGCTGCAGAGGCCAACCATGTGAAAATTTAAAGGAATGTCTGTCTTATTTATGCACCTCCCTGATGCCAGAGAGCAATTTGCAGCCTCAAGCTCCTTCCCAGACCTAAGACTATTACTGGAAGATCATCATATTGTATTATCATGGAATTTGACTGGCAGCCAGGAACTTGTGCACTTCCCTAGGAAGCAGAAGCTCTGGATTTAGTGCCCACAGGAGTTGCATATTCACATAAGTAGAGTTTTGGCTTCCTGTCCCTGGGGATTACTACTTCTGCTTGATATCCAATGGTTTTTGAAAGCACAAAAAAACTCTCCTCCTGCAGAATTTAGAGGCAAAGTCTTATTTCTTGTCACAATTCTTATGTCCCTGCTTAGCACCCACTGAAGGACACACAACATATCCTTGCTTCCATCTCCCTTCAGTTCTCTGATTTATTGCATTAGTTTGCACACACTTCAGCAGGGTATTATGTTATATATAGTTAACCTACAACATACTTAGGGGATTGTAAAATTCTCTTGGGATAAGTAAGATTCATGAGATTGTATACATAGAATCTACAGATTTATTTATTTATTTGTAAATTTAGAGCCAGACAGAAACACTCAGTTCAGCTGAAGTACCACAGATTTTGGCAAATACAGATGAAAACCTTCAGGAGTCTTGGAGGCTTTTCTATTGATTACATTAATAATATGAAAGGAAACCTTGGTTAATGTAGCTACTAAGAGAACACAGGACAAATGATGCAGATTTCATTCAAAAGTGTACCCAGTTTCAGTCTTGTTGCCTATGTCCTTTTCAAAACTCATCTGTAGACACCTAGCTGTCAATACAAAGCCTCACACAAATAGTGCATCATCAGAGTTAACTGACATCAGAAAGAATATTTCTGCTCAACCTTAAGCATTTTATACACAAAATCAATCATGTTTTAATAGACTGCATTCATATTTTTGCAGCATTATATCTATATGTATGTAATATATTGTGATTATAATATTATGCCATTTCAAAACAAGAATAATGTTCATAAATATGAACATTAATGTTCTACTGATTCTAAATATCTTTTGACATACTTTTAAAAATCAGCTACAGAATGTTCTTATGATGGGAATTTCACACTCTTCTTTCAGGCTTTGAAAAAACAATTATCAAGGAAACTGATTAGTTCCACAATTATAATTGCAGTAATGATTCATATAAAGAAGACTTGAAGTTAAATAGTGTAACAGACTTCTTACAACTACTTAGAGGCTATGGGAGAGTACTGAAAGGATAAAGCCCCTAAGAACCTATAAAACTGTTTTTAGAGAGAAATGTTCTATCTTTCTTCAGAAATTAAATTAACTAAGCTACTTTTTACTTGGATGTCTAGAGACCACCTATGTTATACTTTACAGGGGAGAGTTAAGTTTCTCTGCTACAGCAGCTGTGGCAATAGTGTGGAAGAGTTTGCATAATTATAAAAGGCTAAAGTTAGAATAAATTGCAAAAGAAGTAATCTTTTTGTTTCAAGTATGCAAAATTGAAAAATGGCTTATCCCTTCCCTAAGTAAGTTTTTACTTATTTTTCTACTTGACAGATATTTTTATTTCCTTGGGTTAATGAGTTTGCCTACATTTCTTTTCTCCTTTTCTTTTTCAATTGTGGGAAATTTTATTTCTGAATGATGGCAATCACAAGGCCCTGCCTGTTTAAAAAAAATACTCAGAATCTATTGAGACCTTGAATTTCAATCAAGATGCAAATCAACTTTACTTCAATTCAAGTGCATAAACAAATATTTGTGCTAGAAATTAATCTGAGTCTATGAATGAATTAAAAAGATGTTTTCTTTTCAATAAATAAAAGGTAAGGTTGCTTCCAATATTAAAAAAAAACTGCTATGGAATATTCAAAAATTTTGCAGAGATCTTGAGCTAACTTTCCTGAAAAGATATTTGAAGGAAACTCAAAATAGACAAGAAAAAAATAGCCAGTTATTTTAAAATTTTCTGATGGCACACAAGGCCATGACTCATTTCAGCTCATTGGCATTGTTAAAATGCTAGTCAGGTGTTCAGATAGAAATATAGGTATTGATATGGTTTACATTTTACATTGTATTTATTTTGCAAGTTTTTTGTTGATTTTAATACACTAACAATTTGAAAAAGGGCAGATTTTTCAAGTTGCAATGATGATACTGATCTAATTAGAAAAAAAAATATTAAATATGTAGTTCATAATTTTAATTAAAAGTTTGAAATCTCTTCCTCATAGCATTTTCTCTATAAAAATTAAAATTACCCATAATACTTCAGAAAATACCTTATTTTAGATTTATTGTTAACTAAATAATTTTTCATTATTGCATCAAGATAAATCCGTATGCTGGGAAGCCTTATATTAAAACTCATACACTCACTTTTAAGTAGAATGCTTAAATGGACTTTTTCTTAAATGGACTTTCAAACCTTCCTGTTTACACACTTAAAAATATAAATAAAGTTTCTATAGATTTCAAATTTTGTAAATCAGCCTCATAGAAGACTGTTTGGTCACTATGTTAGGGTGAATCATTTAGACAGTATCTAAACAAGACTATTTGAAGACTAAACATCATCAGACACTAAAATAAATGCCTTTATTAAACGTGTAGCTCAAAGCACATGTAGAGATGGAACTGAAATCAAGAATTCTAGCAAATAACTGGCTTAACAAGACGATAGGCAATAAAAGGCAACTTAAAAAGCAGATGTATTTTAAATACTGTATTTCTTGCTAAGTGCCATCAACAGGGTTGAAGAACCAATGTTTCTTCTATACTTAAAAATTACTTTATTACTAAGAGAAAAATGGGAGACAGGGTCCCATTTAAAGGTTCTGAATCAAATTTTTGCTGAAAATGAAGTCTGGGGTCTCACATTTTTCCAGTCCAAGATTTCAGTTACATTATGCTCAACTACACACAGTGTACTATGAATTGGAAATAATTCATAGAGAGAAAACATAATTAAATTAACTTACCAGCAATAATGTTGGGCTTTGGTGGCATGCTGAATTCATACAATGTTGGTTCAGAATAACCCAGTCTGTTGGCAGCTGTAATTTGTACTTCGTAACCCATCGTCCACTGAAGATGCTCTAAGATGATGTGGTCTCTACTACCCTGAACTTTTTTCTCTAGCCACTGGTCTTCCTTATCTTTCTGTGAAGATGAAAATATTTGTTTTAATTCTCCCAAACTCTGGTAATATTTGTCTAAAGTCTGTATCTACAGGATGCACAAAAATATGGAGTTGCCTTTACAGAGGTTATGAACACTGAAATAATCTAATTTTGAAGTTCTGAGTACTTAGGCCTTTTGTAATTTTGACTACTCCTTATCATGTTTCCACAATGTGGATTTAAGGAATTTTGTGGTCAATCCTTTTAAACTTCATGGCTTCAATTTATTCTTTCCTCAAATACTGTTTTTTATTTTATAGAGCAGCAGGCTAATCACTTCAATAATAAAATTCTAAAAATAAATTATGTAAGAAGTTTATTTTATACAGATAATTCAATTACATTTTTCTCAATATTCATTCAAAGAAACTTGCCATTAAACCCAGTCTTAAATTTTTCATGAGTCTAGTTGTGTTTATATCATACATTAGTTATTTAATGAAAATATACACTAATTGTAACAGTACAGGAACATTTCACAAACCAGGTTGTATGCAAGAATTTAAAAAACACTGGGAAAGTATCAAGTACTATGTCTACACCTGTGAGTGGATACACGCAAATCTTTAAAACTGTGTTCTAGACGAAAAGGATTCTCATAGTTTCCCATAGTTAATTAAGTTAATTAAGGCAAAGGGAACAAATGAAGACTTAGGTTGAAAACTTAATTTTGGCATTCATAAACCTTGAGTTCTTACCTTTGCAATCGCTACTCTGAGTACATAATGCATTTACTTATTTTTTTATACAAGTAGAAATGACACGATTACTAATAAGTAGCAGAATAAAACAATATATATAGTCAAACAAAAAAGTCATCTTCAAAGGACAACCAATAACAGTCAGTAAGAATACATGCAGTCCTACTCTTATGAGACACTGAGATACAATAACATGGCTAAAATATCTCTTGAGAGACAAATCCTTGCCATCCGACCCATACAGCTACACAGACCCATCAGTGGATGTAAACCATACTGGAAAAATTAAACCCAAACAAACTTACAATACCTGTAAGTATAACTTTTTAGCTGCACACTACTCAGCATCTTATATTGAGGCTCTTTGCTGAACCATTTTGCTCTTTATTGATACAGGTTTCAGAGAAAACAGCATCTAATTTAGAGAGTTCAGGGACAAATCATGTTTCTTATGATTTACTTTTTTTTGTCCCATCTTCAGAAAATAAAGGACACACTAAATTCTCTTGTGTGCACTGCTGCAATAATTTACTTGTTTCAGCCCTGAGCCTGAAGATTTTTCCATACTGACTTTACCTTTTCATAAACTATCTTGCTTTTTCTGCATTAGCATTGGAATTGTCACATGTTAGTTCTTAGAATGATTAAAATCCAACAAAACCTGTTTCTGGAATATTTTCATCCAAGTGAAAGTTTGTTGTGGTGATAGACTAATGGAAAATATCAGAATGGTAGATCCATTACAAATCATGAAAAAACCACATACACTGGAGTAAAAAAAATTTGTTCATCATACAGTGAAAATAATATTTTCTGTAAAGGGTATCTTTCCACATCCTGATGGATACTTTCTATTGCAATCACTTGACCCTGAGTGAATCCACTCACATTGTCACTATACTAAATTACTTTTACAAGATATATTTTTGCACAGCACTGCTGAAATAGAAGCAGCTAATACTGATTGCAATATGCATATGAAAATGCTCCTTGGTGATATTAGGAATAGCAGCATTGTGTAGAACAGTATTTTAATGGCTGTTTATATTGGTGAGGTATGGGAGGAGTTAGAAAAAATACAGCTAAATTCCCAAGAATATCAATGTGAATCAGAAGTTTCATTCCCTACATAATCTCATAATTGTGCACAGATACCATGTGAATATACTAGGGAATTCCAAAGGGTTTCAGAAACACAGAAAGCCAAAACAGTATGCTGAATTGAAAACTAAATACTCAGGCTAATACAGTTCCAGCAGAAAAAGGCAGCATTGCAAACAGAGATATGAGTATTTTGAAAACAAACTGCAAAAATCTATGTGATGAATAGAATGAGGCTCCACTTCTGCAGACAGAAGAACAAGTGAAAAGGCCGGTGTTCCACAGTTTGTTTGGGTGAAAAATAATGAATGAGCTGAAATATAACAGGACACCTGCATATGCTATGCCAGAGATACCATAATTTAGTTGAAACTGAAACCAAATGGGTGAATTGAGATAAAGGTAACAAAGTCCAAGCCCTGAGTTCAAAGACAGAAAACTTTTTTGAAGAGTGACAAACACAAGTTAGGCGAAAGAGAAATAATGTATTTGGAAAGCAAGGTGTGTTCTAAACACAAACAGATGAAATCTTCCAGGGTCTGCATGTGTCTTCTTAAAGAAGTAAAATAAAAACAAAACAAAACAAAACAAATTAAAAACAACAAAAAGGAACTTCTATGCCTTTCATTATAGCTGTTATTTCAGCTATGTTGTGTTTTCAAGTACTTTACCCTAAGCAGAGCTCAATAATGTCACATTTGATTTACTATTAGTTTAGAAATGCAAAAAGAGGGATTAGAACACAAATCATGTACACATTTCCATAATTTGCATGGATAAAGCTTGACACCTATTGTGAAACACCAGCACGTCATCATGTGTCTCCCAGCCAACTTTGGAAGCACCATCAGCAGAAGAACCAAAGGGAGACTGGAGTTGGCCCCCATGAAAAATTATTAAAGAGTTCCTGTGAGAAGTGTGGTTGGCTGGTCATCTCTGGCAACAGACAGGATGCTTCCCTAGGGAATTCCCACCATTCCTCTTTCCAGATGATTCCTGGGAAACAATTTTCCCTTGCTTTACTGTCTCCCTTCCTATTCTTTCCTAAGGTAACTTTGAAGCTTATGTGTGCCATCAGCATTGGACTCCATCAGTGAAGCTTTGTTAAGTTGTCTCAACTGTCTTAGTGCAACAGCATGAAAAAAAAATGAGGCTACTAAATCATAAAAATTGCACAGTGCCTAATACTCTGGAATACAGAAGAAAATGTCAAGCTGCTTATTATCTGATTGTTGTCAATAATTCCTGCCCATAATATGAAGAAACTGATGCTAGAAAAGGAATATTCAACAGAATGAAATATATGATTGCCAGAAAAAAACTTACTGATTGCCCTTCACCAGGATGTAATATTGCTTTAATATCTTAAAGGCTGTCCTTCCCCCACTTAAAAAAAAAAAAAAAAAGAAAACCTGTATAAAACTTAAACATGGGCAAATTAACTTTTTGAAGAAAAAGCTATTGATGTATAGATTGTTATTAAACATGCTCTTCAAACATTCAAGTCTGAAACCAAATACATTGGTCCAGGTGCTAATAATGAGGCTGGCAAGAGTTCCAGGAAAGCTAATTAAACATGACCAATGGGGAAGAGAAGCAGTCAACAGATAACACATAATTATGTACTTTAAATAGCATTCATTCTTTCTGATTAAAGCACCAGAAATTATTCTGCTTCTTTTGTTGTAGAAAGGCCTTTAATTTAGTCAAATTACTTTTTCAACCGGAGGCTCAAGGAGTTAAGGATTCGAGGTCTAAGGAAAAGCTATCTTCTTCAGTAACCTTTTAAGTTTTCAGTTACTGCTTAAACTGCACATTTTCCTTCCAACAACACACAAGAAAAGTAATCCTTTATACTATAATATTGTACCTTAGTCAATACATGAGATCAAAATCAGATTTCCAAAAATTTTTGGGGTAGAACCAAAGGAATGTAGTTTATTTTAATCACAGAAACAGATTAAATTCCATATGTTGCTCGAATGCATTTCATCCAAAGAGTTTATTTTGTACTCAGTGGTAAATACTTAAAGACATTGTAATCTAACTAGGAAGTTCAATCTCACAAAACACTATTTTTATCTTGTATTCCATATTTTACTACCCTTGTCATCTTTCCAATTACTTTTCTTTTATGTCAGCTGTATCCATTGGATGGATAGGCATTTAAGAAGGTCAACTAAGATTACGGGATCAGTGATAGCAGAGTAACTTCTGGTCATTCCCTCAGACTAACCTTAAGAGTGCAACCAAATATTTCTCAATTAATTTGGAGCTATTGATCTTCTTTGGTTATATTTAGCATAGGAGAATAATCTTACATACCAGGTTTAGCACTCGGATAATCCATGGACTGTAATCAAAGTTACATTATAGCAAACCTCAGGAAATGTGACAAAAACCAAGTTAAGGAACTGTCCTATTTTGGTAAGATTGCAACAGATTCTATAGTTTATTTCTCAAAAATTTCTTCTTTGTGTGAATAAATACAGTCCATACTACCTTCCATTTAACATGCTTAGATATACAATATTACAGTCACAATTTTCTAGACTCTTAATGGACGTGAAATTCTCCTGTAACACCTTGGTAAAATGGGCCTAATCAGATAAAAGGAATTTTTTTTAAAATGCACACTTTGGGATTAAACACATCCCTTTTGCCAGCAGTTACCTCTTCAGTCCAATAATTTATAAACATAGTACAGCAGAAAATGTCTTTTAGCTACATTATTATTATTATTATTATTAATAATAATAATAAAACCCCACCCAACTTTTTTTTTTTTTTTTAATAGATTATATGCTGGAGGAAAGCCTGCTTTCTAAACTTACAGATTTGATGAGAGAACACAAAAACAAGGCTGTCTAGATGACAGAATGCCAAAAACTCCACTTGATGACTGTCTAAGAACAGACGTGCTCTGAAATTCATGAAATTCCCAACAATGAGCCAATTATTTGGCTTTTGTAAGATGAGACTTGGAATTCATGCAGAAGATAGGAAATATGGCCAGGTAATTAAAGTAATTTACAATTAATATGGAGCACTGCAATAGAGCATTGTATCAATATAGATGCATTTATAATAGATTTAAAATTTTCTGTTCAAGCAACCTTTAAGTGTGTAATTTTAATGTTTGCTAATTTACTGTGTTTTTAAAAGCTGTACACTAATGTCCCATTTTTACTATGAAACTGAAAAATAATATAGTACTCTTGAAAAGATGAATTTTCAGTATACCTTGAAGAAGAAATGAGTGTTCTGGGGTTTTTTTCAAGTTTTATTTTATAATCTGGCATCTGCAACCTAGTTACAAGAGAAAACAAACTATATCTTTTTAAAAAAAAAAAAATTCTGGAATGCAAACCACTTTGGTAAATTTCAAATAATACCAACAATTTTCTCTGCATTAAAAGCAGATATTAACCAGCATGATTCACTTATTTTGATTAAGTGAAATACTTACACTTCTGTATTTGACAATATATTCCAGTATGGGGGCACCTCCATCATCTTGTTTAGTTATGCTAAGTTTAAAACTCTTGCCACTCTCTGGTTGTCCATGAATTGAAGGGGGGCTTGGCTCCCCTAAATAGAAATATTTCATAAATATTTAAATAAAATTTAAATAAATATTTAAATAAATAAGAAAACAAAAAATACACAATAATAATAAAAAAAATTCAGCAGTGAGATGACTTATTAATTACATCTAGGAACTTGTCCATAATAATATTAATCAAAATCTTAAAATCAATACGATCATTCCAGGCACTACAAAACAGCCTGTATAAGAATGTTAAATACTATGCTTGAAATATGTTTTAATGTAGGTTCCTCATACCAAGAAACAAAATTTTGTGAAGTATGAAAGAAATATTAATTTCTTTGAGACCTTCTGACTTCCAACACTTTTAAATGGAATTTCTTTCCAAAATCATTTAGTCATCAGTTCAGCAAAGTTGGTAACCTGCTACTCATATTGAAGTTTAAGAGATGCTCTCTTATAGGTAAGCATCCATAACTTGAGCATAACCTTTAATATTATGTGAGATTTCTAATTTGAAATACTTTTAAAATTTAAAATAAATTTACTCTCCAAAAAATGTACCAAGTGAAATTAGATAAAAAGTTATCCAAAAATAACTTCTTAGAGAAGTCAATTTCAAGAGTAAATATAAAGAATAATACTTTCAAAGCTAAAACGAAATGTCTTAGTCATAATGAGAAGGTAAAGGTAGTCTTAAACATACAATCAAAAGATTAATAGCCACTTTAAGATCCTTTCCTAGCCAAAAATTCACAGATTATCTTTTCTATATGCAATGCCTATTACATTTGTTTAAAGGAGATCCTAAATGAACATATACTGAAGTGTCTTATTTTCAAAATATCTGTAAATGTGCATTTATCCAGAGAGATACTGTTCCTTTGGAAATAATTGTAATATTTGTGTTTAGCACATATTAAAGTAAGGATAAACTTACTTAGATCACAATGTAAAACTTATCTAGCCTGTCTTACAGTTGCTGTCATTTTTCCATCAAGTATATTGATAGAAGTAATAGGAAAATATTTTTTCTGTCCTGGAATATATTTAGAATATATGTATGCTTCAATGAAAAAGATATTTGGAAGCTGCCAAGTTACCGTTTTGGGACAGAAGAAATGTATAATGTAATGTAATGTAATATAATATAATATAATATAATAAATATAATACACTAATAAATCTAATCTAATCTAATCTCGCAGAAATATTTTCTGTTCTTTGTAGTTACATTACTTTTATTGTTCATTCCCTTAGGGCCAGTATTAGGTACACTGAGTAATGCCCCATTAAGGAAACAGTTCAGTTGCAACAGATTTATGACAGACTGGTCTGGCAGTAGCTGCTGATGTATTTCCACATGTCTGTTTGATTGCTACACACTGCCATCTGGTAGTTCCTTTGCTTTTCTTCTCTCTGTGTTTTTAATTTATTTACTGTTGTTTCTATTTAAAGATAATTAGAGAAAAATATTTTTTATTTGCCCTTAATATTTTAATCTGGATCTTTGGCATCTTGTTACTGCAAATACAGAATTGGTTTCATAGAATTTCTCATTTGCATGCAGTCATAGTTAAAACAATTCATTCTCATAATTTCTTTTATAGCTTAAGATTTCTGTTTGAGGGCTTGATAATTGCAGAAAAATAGCACGATAGTTCGGTGAAGAAATGTCTCCAGAAATGGCTGATTCACTTCTCTTAGATGTGGCTAATATCCTGAGTGTTAATGAGAAAAATTCCTTATTCCAGTATCATATATATCATTATTTGATATAATGGTTTTTGCTCCATTATATCAAATAAAGACTCTTCTGATTCTCAAAAATTTAAGATAATGGGATAAATTCTCCAATTTAAGTTCCCTCATACTTCTTGAAAGGGATGGAATAAGAAAACATGATTTCTGAGAAACAATATAAAGACTGATGTAATACACTGGGGAGTGGATTATAAACCTGAAACATGATCCACAGTGAATTATAATTCAAATCTAGAGATATTATTATAATAATAATTTTCATTTAACGGCACAAGTATTACTCACGGACAGGTAAGGTCTGAAAGATCTCAGTTTTGCTGTACTCTCCTTGTCCTTTCCCATTTACAGCAGCCACTTTGATTTCATATGTTGTATTTGGTTCCAAATTGCTCAGAAAAACCATAGCTAAAGGAAAGAAAAAAAAAAGGTATAAAATTTGATGAAGTAATAAATTTATAAAAATAAAAGCAAGACAATTTCATAATTTGCTTTCTTCACTTGTAAACTAACGAGTCTCATATTCTGACAGTACATTAATTTCAAACTCAGCTTTTTTGTTGAGTGCTAATAGTCCTTTTTCCATCTGCATAAAATCATTGTTGTGACTGAGAAAGTTATGCTTCTGAAGGAACAGTGAAGTCAGCATTACAGAAGCCACAGGCAACAATTGAGGACCGTGATGGGGATCAATATTTTATGTTCAGATTGTGAGCACAGTGTATTGGGTTTGCACACCCAGGTTTTGGTAGTGAGGCTGCTACGGGGTGGCTTCTGTAAGAAGATGCCAGAAGCTTCTCCCATGTCTGACAGAGCCAATCCCAGATGGCTCCAGGAAGGACCCACTGCTGGCTAAGTGAGCCCATCAGGGACAGTAGCCTTCTGTGATAACATATTTAATAATATAATAAGTAAATTGTGCATAACATATAATAAATATAATAAACAAGTTATTGTGCAGATGTATTTGTGGCCAGAGGAGAGTGGGATGAGGATGTGAGAGGAACAGCCCTGCAGACATCAAGATTAGTGGAGAAGGAGAGGCAGGAGGTGCTCCAGGAGCCAGAGCTAAGATTCTCCTGCAGCCCATGGTGCAGCCTGTGGAGATGCAGCAGTGCCTGGTAGACATGGGAGACCATGGGGATCCAGAGATCCACCTGCAGCCCATGGAAGAGGCACACAGCATAGCAGATGGATGTTGAGAGAGGGTTTTGACCCCATGGGAAGCCCGTGATGGAACAGGCTCCTGGCAGGGACCTGCAGACCCATTCAAGGAGCCCATGCCAGAGTAGGTTTCCTGGTAGGACTTGTGATGCTGTGGGGGAACCATGCTGAAGTAGCCTATTCTTGAAGAACTAGGGTGACCCATGCTGGAGAACTTCATGGAGAACTGTTGCCCGTGGATGAACTCACTTTGGTGTAGTTCATGGAGAAGTATCTCCCATGGGACAGACTCTGCACTGGAGCAGGGGAAGGACTCCACTCCCCGAGGAACAACATGTGATGAGCTCATTTTTTGACCAGGTGACCCACCTGGTGAAGGAAGGGCTGTGGATGTGTCTATTTGGACTTCAGCAAGGCCTTTGACACTGTCCCCCACAGCACACCCCTGGAAAAGCTGTCAGCCCTCAGTTTGGACAGGAGCACTCTGTGCTGGGTTAGGAACTGGCTGGATGGCCCAGAGAGTGGTGGTGAACAGTGCTGCATCCAGCTGGGGGTCAGTGACCAGTGGTGTCCCTCAGGGGGCTGTGCTGGGGCCAGTCCTGTTCAATATTTTTATTGATGGCATGGGTGAGGTAATTGAGTCCTTCATTAGTAAATTCGCAGATGACACTAAGCTGGGAGTGTTGATCTGTTGATAGGCAGGGGACGGCATGTCTGGACAGTGCCCAGGCAGAAAGGAACCTGGGGGTTCTGGTGACAGCAGCTGGACATGAGCCAGCCCTGTGCCCTGGTGGCCAAGAAGGCCAATGGCCCCTGGCCTGGATCAGGATATGGCCAGCAGGAGCAGGGAGGTCATTCTCCCCCTGTACTCAGCACTGGTAAGGGCACACCTGGAGTGCTGTGTCCAGTTCTGGCTCCTCAGTTTGGGAAGGACGCTGGGACACTTGAACATGTCCAGAGGAGGCAACGAGGCTGGTGAGGGGCTGAGAACACAAACCCTGTGAGGAACAGCTGAGGGAGCTGGAGTTGTTTAGCCTGGAGAAAAGGAGACTCAGAGGTGACCTAATCACTCCCTACAACTCCTGAAAGGTGTTTGTGGTCAGGGGGAGGTTGGTCTCTTTCTCCAGGCAGCAACTGACAGAAGGAGAGGACACAAACTCAAGCTGTGCCAAGGGAAATGGATGTTAGGAAAAGGTTTTAACTGGAAGACTGATAAAGTACTGAAATTATCTGCCTGGGGTAGTGATAGAGTCACCATCCCTGGATGTGTTTAAAAAAAGATTGAGTGTGGCACTTGGTGCCATGGTTTAGTTGAAGTGGTGTTAGGGCATGGGTTGGACTCAATGATCTTGAAGGTCTCTTCCAACCCAGTGATTCTGTAATTCTGTGACCATTATCACCATTCCCTGTCTCCCTGTGAGGGATGGGGGTAAAGCTGGGAGGGAAGGACAAGTGGTGGGAAGGTGTTTTTAAGACTTGTTTTACTTCTCATTATCCTGCTCTGATTTTGGCTGATAATATATTCAATAATTTCCTCAAGCTGAGTCTATTTTGCCCATGATGATAATTGATGCAGGAACCTCTCCCCGTCCTTATCTCAATCATGAGCCTTTTTTTACACATTCTCTCCCCTGTCCAATTTCACAGGTGAGGGATAGAGTGGCTGTGATGGTCAAGTGGTATCCAGCCAGGGTCAACCCATCACACACAGGAGACATGAATATGACAAAAAAATTATGGAATTTTTCCATCCTCCTTGCTGGCAGCTAGCACATCATGTGTGTTCCATCCACCTTCATACAGTTCATAACCTGCCATTTTCCCTTCTTGGACAGCAGTATCATCTGTTGTTGATCTACACTCCAAAATGCATCTACATGCACATTGATGGTGACTTTCTGGTGCTCTGGTCTGCCAGTTCAACAATGAGTTCAAGACGTAAAATGAAAGGTGCCTATGATGGTCAAAGCAAGAGATCTGAGTTATCTACTGAGGACCTAATTCTCTGAGAGAGAATTAGGCAGGTTTGCACATATTTCAGAGGAGGTATATGGAAATACATAAATTAAATGTAATAGCAACAATTAAATTATAACAAAAAAACAAACAAACAAAAAAAAAAACAACCAAAAAAACCAACTTGGGAAGCAAAGGGATGGGAACTTAGGACATGATTTCAGAAATGAAGTCTGAACTCTTGACAGCGGTCATTCACAAAAACCTAGCCTTATGATTCTATCTAAAGATGCCATTTGAAGCAGGAAACAGTGGTAAAGCTTGCCAAAAAACACTAAGAATCCAATAGTAAATCTAGAAGTAAAATTATCTAGAAGAAAACTAATGTTGGACTCTAGAAACCTTTTTGGGAATACATTATCAACTATATCATAATACTGTGCTTACTAAAGAGCAATACTGAGTATGCACTTGGAAATGCGGATCCATGAAGAGCTCTCGGAGCATTACCCTGCCTTTAGAAGAAAGATTCCTTTTATTGTCTCTCCAGCAATTGCTTGCTTGCTGTTTGCCAGCTCTGTAAAGAGCTCTCCATATGTCAGATTCCTACTGTGGAATGGATGGAAATTAGGTGGACTTGACTAGGAGCACAGCAGCACTTGTCTTGCCCAGGAAAGCAGGGGCTGTAACATTTTACAAGTGGCTGTAGAAAGGTAGAATGTTAAAAAAGAGTCAGTAGTATCTTTCACAGTCCCTAGGGGGCCAAATTTTTTCATTAAAAAGAAGTATTTTTTTTTAATTGCTTTCGGCTTCTTTACAAGTTATATATTCAATGAAAGCATAATTGTTTCTATCCATTGTTTCTTTGTTATTCTTTTTAGTCCAGATTTATTAGAATTTCTATTTCTTTAGTTTCTACAGCAGTCTGTCAGAGTTCCCATTAAATGTGAAGCCAAAGGGATTTTATGAATTTGGAAAAACAGTAATTTCTACATTTCACACTCTGTTAAGGGCATTTTGCATGAATTTGCCATTGAAACATAACTGTTTTCTTGTAAATGGAGCAGTGGAATTGTATGTCTTCCAGCACATTTTAGCTTTATCATTTTATGAGATTTAAAAATATTGAAATCTAAAGTATAATCATGTCATGAAAAAATAATGTATCATCATGAGAATAAGAATAGAATTAGGAGATATAACATTGAGTTCTGTTAAGATTGAATTTAAAACTTAACTAAGCAGTAGCAGTATTTGACTTGCCTTTCAGCCATGATTACTTTACAAGGATGAATAATTTCACTGAAAATAAACCTTAAGGAATATGAAATATTAGTGCTACTGTAAATGTTTTTAAAATTTAAACAACATAAAAGCATGACTATGAGTCTACATTTAAGAAAATGCAAATGTGAAACCTAAGGATCCGATTTTCTAAACACTCCTGGGACCTATAGATATGGAAAAAATTACTTATATATGCAGTATTTAAAGAATCAGTGTTACTTTAGAAACCCCTGCACAGAACTATGCATCTAGATACAATGACTTTTGCAATTACATTTGAGGAATAAAATTGTCTCACAGAACACAACAAAAGTGCAGGACTGAAGAGTAGTCTAAGAGAAATTAAAATTTCACTGGTTGCTTGAAGTTGAGATTGGAAGAAAATACTACATAAACAAAATTTTTAATAATGTGTGTATCTGTTGTTTAAGTATAAAATCACTTTATTTCTCTTTCCATATACAAAAAAAAAAATTCTCACAGGAAAATAGTCCTGGCTACAATTGATATTTAGATTTCTTTCACATTTAGTGCATAAATGTGAAAAGAACCTGTCCACTGCATACTGTATGTGTACATCATGCCATTGGCATATTTCTTGATGGATATCAAGTTCCAGATATACTGAAAGTAAAATCCCTTTCATTCAGAATATCACTTGAGATTTTCCAGTTTCTTTTAGCTGTTATATCAGTAGACATTATCTTTCTAATCATAGTATCTGTGAGCTTTAGCTGGAGAATTCAATTTTGTAGATTGGTTTTGCTGGGATATTCACATAGTGACTGGTTAGATTGAGGAGTGGATTTGTAAGGAATACTCCAAAGAGAGAAAAGCAGAACAGTGGGGGAAAAGCAGAACAGTGTCTCTTGTGAACTTCCCGAATTAAATAAATTATCTAATTTAAGTTAGTAAATTAATAAATTAATGAATTAATAAATTAATAGAATGCATTACAGCTCAGAACTTAGTGCTATCCATTTATAAGGATATATGAGGCTTTAAGTCAGGCACCCTCGAAGGACATAAAGACACAGGATGTTACCAAGTATATTGGTTTTAGTTTAGGATTATATTAAGGCTTTAATACAAAATTATTAATATTTTTGACGAGGTATGCATTGAATATTGTTGCTTGTTTGGTTGTTTTTTTTTTAATTCTGTCAACCAGAAATTAAAAAGAAACACAACAACAGAAAATAATTAAATCTTATTGAATAAAAAAGTAAGTTTAACCTATTATGTGATAATAGGTTAATCCTAATTTTTAAGCAACATTAAGCATACCGTCCTTTTTATTATACGGATTCTTGTAATTTTCAAGCAAATCTAATAAATTTTAAAAAAACTAACACAGTACAGGAAAAAAACAAACAAGTATATGTTACATAGAAAAAAAATGCAGAACTTCATACTATTTAAAATACAGCTTGCAAGCATTTCATCTAGAAAAGTTCCTTTTATTGTTGCAGAATTTTAACTGCTGTCAAAATGAACCATGGGAAAGCAACATCTAACACAAGATTTTCTGTGAAATAAATTGTACCATAAATCCAAGTCAGTAAAACCAAAACAAAATTCCCCAGCTGCTTCTCTGGTCCAGGGTAGGTTGTTTATGTTACTTTATTACAGTAGAATGAGAGGAAAAATGTCTGGCATATTAAATTGTCTCTTCACTGAAGTAATCTGCCTCAGAAACCTTCTAAGAATTGTGATATATTACATAAACCATCACCAAAGAAAGGAAGGTTAGAGGAACTGGCAGTACAGTTCCTCTACATTAATCCCAAAATGGATCTTATATGAGGTTAATTAACAGAAATACCACATTGTTACATTGCTCATATTGGAGAGGTATCTGCTGCATAGAACAATGTTATTCCAATTCCAAATTCAGTCCCTTGAGGATGTCAGATCTAACTGAAGAAAGACATAAATTTACTTTGAAACAAAGTAGCTGAG